GGAAGGGCAGGAGGGGAGGGGTCCCAGGCATGTCACCCTATGTACCCGCCTGGAACCCCTCCCCTCCTGCCCTTCCCCCACCTCCTGCTAGGCAATGGGGGGGGGGAAGGGAAGCCAAGGGGGCTCCTCACAGGGTAACATCTCACCCCAGCCCCACAGATCCCACGGTGCAGCTTGGACCCCCAAGGAGCCGCGTGGAGCCCCCACTGTGTCTGCAATCGGCGCCAGGCAGCGGCTTTCCAGCTTCCGCAGCAGGACTGAGCGAGCACCCGCACCCCGACCGCTTATGGTGAGGCTCTGTGCTGTCCCGGTGGCAGCTGGTTGGATCTGTTGTGAAACAGATTTCCCTGGCCGGGAAATCCCCCCTGGTGAATCAGGCGGGTGGGGGCTGGCAGGGGGTGGGGGGCAGCCCACTCCAGACGGCCCCTGGGGTCCCCAAGCCAGACGGGAGCCGTGGGGTGTCTTGTGTGAGCTCCCGCAGAGCGCCCGGTAATTCCCAGAGCAGAACCCTCCCAACTGTGCATGATGGAGGCTCCCCCGGCCCCCGGGGAAACTGGCCCCAGGGTTAATTCCCTCGCTGTTCCGAACCGACGCCTTGTTTCCAAGCTGAGCGGGCCCCGTTTCCTCCCAGCCACCGTATCCCGCTGGCCCTGCCCCATTCACTGAGCAAATGTGTCCCCGCGTTGGCGTCCTGGAGAATTCCCTGGGGAAACTGATTCGGCATGTTCTGCTGTCGGAGGAACCGGCTCTCCGCACGCCCTGCCCGAGAGCCATTTACTGCAACTCTCCGGTCAGCAAGTCTGGGGGGACCATGCAGGCGAGGGATGGGAAATATCGTTAACTCAATCGCCGAGTAACCTCCCGAATTCTTATCGCCTACTTGACTAGTCCATAGTCCCCGGGGGCAGAGCTGGCAGCCAGTGCGTTCAGACTCTACTCCTGAGGAGCCCCCACCCCTGTTAGACATTGGGAGCTTTTACGAAAGATCTCCAAAAACAAGGACTACACGATCGTTTTTGTTTTGGAGAGTATAAGATCTTTTGAAAAAGTTCCCCGTTGTCGGAAAAACCTGTCTAACCCGGGGTTTCACTTTGGACATGGCGCTTGTTCAAAACAGTGCCATGACAGGATTATGCAAATGATTATTTAAATCCCTGCTTCATTTGCACTTTCAAAACATCTAATTTACCTCCCTCAGCTGACAGAGGGGTGTGGTTTAGAGGTACCCTTATTGGCAACGGGCTGGGGGAGGGGGAAGGGAGGTGTGGAGTCTGTAGCATTAACCAATAAGCTTTGTCTTTGTTTTCGCTTATCGGTTAATCGACTTTTATTAGTCCCTCATCCAGGCAGCTCTACAGGCCCACCTGGAGCTGAGTTAATGTAATGCCTGTTTCTTTGCTATGTTTTGGTTTAGTTGGGCACCTCAGTCCGGGGGTCACACACGCCAGCCAGGCACAGCTGGGGGCAGAGCGCTGCCCCTCTGGCCTGTTAGTCGATTCCCCTCCACCCTGGGGCTGCCTTTCAGAGGTTCCCAAAGAGAGGGCCCTGCAAGGGGGAGAGTGAGCAGGATTCGGAGGGGGACCATCCAGGGGGCTGCACAGGGCCCTTGACTCAGGCACCTGCAGCCTTTCTTCCCAGAGGCCAATAGGCAGACACAGCCTGAAGCTGGGCAGATGGGCTGGGTGGGGTTTCCTGTGGGATTTCAGTGCTGGGCTGTGTTAGTTGGCTCTGCTCACTGTAGGACACGCAGCGTCCTTCCTTCGGGGGGCGCGGGGACCCTCCAGTTCCCCCTCCCGTCCACTGGCAGCATCTGCTGCAAACTGGGGAGCCGTGCAGGGGTCTGCCAGGTCCTGCGACCCCTAGTGGCAGCCGGCAGCTCCACAGGGCCAGTGCTGCGGAGAACAGTGACATTCTGCACAGAACAGTCCTTCTGCACAAACCCCGCACAGCTCCGAGGCGCAGGATTGCCCTGGAACAAAAGGCCCCCAGGAACGGAGTGTCCACGACCTCCCTCAGCAGCCTGTGCCATGGTCCCGCTGTCCTTACACTGTGGAAGTTTCCCGAGTGTGACAAGATGACCAGGGTTGATATCTTGGGTCCCCCACCTTCCTTGGCAGGGAGGGTCTAGGAAATCCCTTTGCCCTGCTCTTGAGACCCAGCTGCTCTCTACCCCTGAAGGTTTCTTATGCTCTTCCACCTTGGGCAGGGTTGCCCTCAGTCCTTTCTGCTGGGGCACAGGGTCTCTCTTCCCCCAATTCCCCAGCCTTTCAAATCTCAACAATTGCTCCGGTTCATAGACTCATAGAACACAAGGAGTGGAAGGGACCGCGAGAGGTCATTGAGTCCAGTCCCCTGCCCTCAGGGCAGCACCAAGCACTGTCTAGAGCGTCCCCGTCTAACCGGCTCTTAAATATCCCCAGAGATGGAGATTCTACAACCTCCCTAAGCAACTTATTCCCGTGTTTCACCACCCTGACGGGCGGGAAGTTTTTCCTAATGTCCAACCTAAACCTCCCTGGCTGCAGTTTAAGCCCATTGCTTCTTGTTCTATCCTCACAGGCCAAGATGAACAAGTTTTCTCCCTCCTCCTTGCAACACCCTTTTAGATACCTGAAAACCGCTCTCATGTCCCCCCTCAGTGTTCTCTTTTCCAAACTAAACAAGCCCAGTTCCTTCAGCCTTCCTTCCTCTAGACCTTTCATCATTCTTGTTGCTCTTCTCTGGACCTTCTCCAATTTCTCCACATCTTTCTTGAAATGCGGGGCCCAGAACTGGACACAATGCTGAGGCCTGATCAGCACAGAGCAGAGCGGAGGAATGACTTCTCGTGTCTTGCTCCCAGCACTCCTGTTCATGCAGCCCAGAATCATGTTTGCTTTTTCTGTGACAGCGTCACACTGTTGGCTCCTGTTTAGCTCGTGGTCCACTCTGACCCCTTGATCCCTTTCTGCCATACTCCTTCCTAGACAGTCGCTTCCCCTTCTCTGTGTGTGAAATGGATTGTTCCTTCCTAAGGTGTGTTGTGAGCAAGACACGAGAAGTCGTTCTTCCGCTCCACTCTGCGCTGGTTAGGCCTCAGTTGGAGGATTGTGTCCAGTTCTGGGCCCCGCATTTCAAGAAAGATGTGGAGAAATTGGAGAAGGTCCAGAGAAGAGCAACAAGAATGATGAAAGGTCTAGAGAACATGAGCTATAAGGGAAGACTGAAAGAATTGGGCTGGTTTAGTTTGGAAATGAGAATATTTAGGGGGGACATGAGAGCAGTTTTCAGGTATCTAAAAGGGTGTCACAAGGAGGAGGGAGAAACCTTGTTCTTCCTGGCCTCTGAGGATAGAACAAGAAGCAAGGGGCTTAAACTGCAGCAAGGGAGGTTTAGGTTGGAAATTAGAAAAAAGTTCCTAATTGTCAGGGTGGCTAAACGCTGGAATAAGTTGCCCAGGGAGGTTGTGGAATCCCCATCTCTGGAGATATTGAAGAGCAGGTTAGATAAATGTCTATCAGGGATGGTGTAGATGGAGATTGGTCCTGCCATGAGGGCAGGGGACTGGACTCGATGACTCTCGAGGTCCCTTCCAGTCCTAGTGTTCTATGATTCTAAGTGGAGCACTTTGCATTTGTCCATATTGAACTTCATCCGATTTACGAGAGTTTGAATTAGGACCCCATCCTCCAAAGCAGGTGCAACCCCTCCCAGCTTGGTATCATCTGCAAACTTAATAAGCACCCTGGCTATGCCAATATCTCAATGATTGATGAAGATATTGAACAGGTTCCAAAAGAGACCCCTGTGATTTTGGGCTCCGGATGTCAATTTCGGGCTCCGCACCCCAGGTCGGCATTTTCGGCTTCAAAAACGAAAACCTCCTTTGTTCTGCCCTCCCAGCAGGTTTGTGAAGTGTTAGTAACGACTCTGTGAGAATGGTTCTCCAGCCAGTTCTGCACCCACCTTCTAGTAGCCCCATCTAAGTTGTATTTGCCTCGTTTACTGATAAGAAGTGCATGCGAGACCAAGTTCCTCCATTCTTCCTCACTCCACCTTGTCTTCCTGAAGCTGGGTGGGGGCGTTTATTAGGTTCCTAAGCAAAGACTTAATTGGCTACCGATGCTTCAATTCGCCTAGCATAGCCGTCCCCTACCCGCAGGGACCCCACGGCTTAATTAGCCTAGGGTTCCCCTTCAGCCCTTTGCTCCTGCTCCCTGCCCCTGCCTTGCTGCTTTAAGATGTAATTGACATCGGTGGTGCTGTAGCTGAACCTGTGCAGCAAGAGAGAACAACTTTTCTCCCCCCCTTTTTTTTAATAGCCGCCCTCCACATATTTACAGACTATTATCATGGTCCCTCTTAATTTCCTCTTTTCTGAACAAAACGTACCCAGTCCCTTTGGCCTTTGCTCACACAGCTTCCAATCCATCCCAGCTCTGTCACTCGCCCCTGCAGCCTTTCTTGGTTGGCTACAGACTTTCTAGGCACTGGAGACCAAAACAGGCTACAGGGCCCTAGCTGAGGCCTACCCAGCACAGACTAGCACCATCCGATCACCTCCTGTGAGTTGATGCTCTGCTTCTGTTAATGCGGCCTACGCTAGTGTGTGCTTTTTATGTAACACCATCCTGCCGGTGACTCATACTGAGGTTGTGATCCACCATGACTCCCAGACCCTCCTACGCACTGTTCCTGCCAGGCCAGCCACACCCCCCCCTCCATCCCCCATCTGTATTTGTGCATTTGCCTTATTTCTAAGCATGACACTTAACATTTGGGCCCCGTTGTGCCGGGCGCTGCACAGACACAGCGAGAGACAGTCCCTGCCCCAGCTGAGATCAGGGCCCCGTTGTGCCGGGCACTGCATGGACACAACGAGAGACAGTCCCTGCCCCAGCTGAGATCAGGGCCCCGTTGTGCCGGGCACTGCATGGACACAACGAGAGACAGTCCCTGCCCCAGCTGAGATCAGGGCCCCGTTGTGCCGGGCACTGCATGGACACAACGAGAGACAGTCCCTGCCCCAGCTGAGATCAGGGCCCCGTTGTGCCGGGCTAAGCATGACACTTAACATTTGGGCCCCGTTGTGCCGGGCGCTGCACAGACACAGCGAGAGACAGTCCCTGCCCCAGCTGAGATCAGGGTCCTGTTGTGCCAGGTGCTGCACAGACACAGTGAGTGACAGTCCCTGCCCCAGCTGGGATCAAGGCCCCGTTGTGCCTCAAACTGAGATTTACAGGCTCTTGCAGAAAAGGGGGTTTTGATGACAAATTGCCCCATCTACACAGGGCTTTTTATCGCAAAAAGCCTCTTCTGCAAAAAGGATTGGAAGTGGATATGCAAATGAGAGCATGCGATATGCAAATGAGCTCTCCATTTGCATTTCCTCTTCCACAAAACAGCCACAGTCTAGCCGTAGCCTTCGTGCACTAGGTCTCTAAGGGAAGCGAACATGGGTTCAGGTCTCTGTCCTACACCCAGCACGTTGGAGTCTCTCTTCGCATTGGGTGCTGCCCTAATGGACAAATTTAATCACAACTCATCATGTTTTCAGCGTTACTGGCTGCCCAATGGCGGATGAAGGCAAGAAGTCGTCCCAAGCGCTGGTTAAAGCTGAGCTGAATGTCAGCAAAGCTCAGAGTGTGCGGGAGGAGACGGCGCTGAGGATGAAGTCCTACGCCAACTGGGAGGAGTTCCTCATGCCGGCCCCCATCTCCATCGCCATCCTGGGGCAGCTCGTGTTCATTTCAGCGGCGCAGAAGGACTTCTCCATCAATAAGAACCCCCCTAAGGATGGCTTCAAGCACATCAAGTACCCAGAATCCTTCAGGGCCTCCTTGTGTCAAGTCAGCAACCAAGGCTGGGAGGCCTTCAACGCTGCGCACGTCAACATGGACAAGATCCGGCTGCTCTCCATGAGCGTCCCGGGACGGACGAAGACGATTGTTAAAATTCTGTTCCAGGACATGGAGACGGTGAACGCCATGCTGCCCACGCACCTAAAGAACATGAAGGCCGTGGCAGACGACTGCCAAGCCTTAGCCAAAGCAGTGGAGGACAAGTATTCAGACGTCATCCACCTGATCCAGGAGCTGATGGAGGCCTGTTTGAACGCCAAGAAGGGTTACGAGGATGAGCTGAAGGAAGTCGAGATCGCCCTGCAGCAGGCTCGGATCAAGGAGGAAGCCACCAGGGAGGCGCAGAAGCTGGCAGAGGAGTATCACAAGCAGATGAAGAAGCACGTCGATGAGACCTTTGACCAGTTCAAGGACGCCATGAATTCCATCCCCACAGGGTGGGATGTAGTGGGCATGAACATTGTGGAGAGTCTTGCAAATGGAATCCTGAATGTTGCCAATGGGGCTGCAAGTGTGTACACAGGAAAACTAGGCAAGATACAAGCTGGGGAAATGGGAGGAGGTACAGTGGCCAGCCTAGAGGAGAGTGAGCATGGATGCACCATACCAGAACTCAGAATTTTTCCCAAGTCAGGGACGCTCCTGGCGTACGCAACAAGCCTCAAAGAGCTAATCGTTGAGCCCGCTGGCCTCGACATGCAGAAAATCGTCAATGAGCAAACTCAGACAGTCAACACCAACTGGCTGAAAGATGCTTTCCGAGAGCAGAAGAGCAGCATAGACAGAGAAAACGAGTGTAAGCCAAAAACTCAAGCTCAGAAGATCTGTACATTTGGCCTTAGTATTTGTGAACAGCTGGAAAAGTTGGCCTTGTCCAAAAACAAAGATAAGGAAGAAGAAAAGTCTCTTGTTGAAAAGATCCAACGCTTATACCAAAGTGCATCGGAGTTCGATACAAAGAGTAAATCGTCAATGGGATCGCCGGCCTTCACCGCCAAGCCGCCGAACATGGCTAAATCCCAACAAGCCTCCACGGCAGCATCCGGTGCCGTGCAAAATGCACATCTGAAGGTGGAACAGAGCCGGGCGATGATGAAGGAGACCCAGGAGGAGTATCAGAGGAGCTTTGACAACTTCAAGAAGCAGAACGATGAACTGAAGGAGCTCTTGTGCACCATGGAGAAATGCAAGGTTCAGGAAATTGATTTCAAGACGGCCAAAGAGATGCTGATCAAAGGGCTGGAGGCCCTAGGGAGGGTGAAGGAGCAGTGGGAGAAGATGGTGAGGTTCTTCCAGATGATCTCCAGCCTGATTGACTCCTGCCTCAGTCGGGACATCAAGGAATTTGTGAGCTCTGTCTCGGACGTACAGAAAATTGGAAATTATTCCTCCAACTGCTTTGTCCTAGACATGATCTACAGCCAGGCGTTCAACGCTTCCAACGTGGCCCACCTGGTGCACATGATCTCTGAGACCTACACCCAGGTGTCCAATAAATTCCTGATGGATCGCATAAGCAGCTTGGGGCGACTGATCGCCCTGGAACCATCTGACCCGAAATTCAACATTGAGCGGGAGAGGTTACAGACAGGTTGCGAAGAGGCCCGCCAAGCCATCCATGACTTGGTGATCGAGAAGAAGGAGGAGTTTGATCGGAGCGTGGAGGCCAGGGTGGAGACGATCGACAGGGAGCTGAAGGCCGTGCTGCCCCCAATGAGTGTGGCAGAGCAGAAGGCAATCGAGGGAGCGGTGCGCCAGGGGATGAAGGAGTTGACCGCAGGGGAAGATGATCAGTTTGCGTAGATGGACGCATTGCTGGGGTCCTGGCAACTGGCTCTCGCTGTGGGGAGTCTTTGTAATCAAGCAATTGCAACCCCACCTCGCTTCGCTCCATATACGACTTTGCTTTGCATGGCCTGAGCCCGGGAGAGGCCAGCCGCACAGTCAAGGTGCTTCATGAGAACACAGCAGATCTGGGTTCTAGTCTTCACTCTGCCACACGCTGTTCTTTCTCCCCCTGGGCAAGTCACTGTGTTGCTCTGTGCTGTGGCTTCCCGTCTGCAAGCTAGGGCTGTCTCATTGCCCCCATCTCAGCCATGGGGTGCTGCGCGTGGAGGGTGAAACACGCAGGCTGTAGTGGGCCCTTGTAAGAATCTACTGAGTGATCCGGGGAGGGGCGACACTATTGGGCTGTAACATGAATGTACGAATCCTTGTTGCAACCAGTGTAACTTGTTTGCACCAAACCCTATACAAGGCAGGCCAAGTGTGATGTCCATGAGAAGCTTCGGATTCCCTGGTTTCTGTTGACACTGCTCGCACGCACGTAGTGGTGTTGTACGAGGAGCTCTGAGCACTGGCTCTGCACTTGCATTTCAACGCTGGCTTCGGGGACACGCCCTTAGGAGACGGGGCCCGTCTCTTCGGAGAGGTTTGACAGCCAAGGGAATCGCAGCCCTTCCCTGCCAGCGCAGCTCAGGGGTGTCAATCCACATCTGATGAGCTTGGTCGCGAATGTTCAGACCAGCACGCGAGCCGGGGCGGTGCCGGAAACGGGTGGAGTCCTGCGTGGACAGATGACCTGTTTGTGTGACAGACTCTGTCCTGGGACCTGCTTTTGCACAGCAAGAGCAACGGGATTCTCTCCACGTGGGTACGGCTGTGAGATGGCACAAGCCCCAGGGCCTCTCTCTCTTCAGCCCGGCGGATCACCTGACTCTGCACTGAACTGCAGCCTGGAAGAACTGACGGCCCCGCCTAACAGACGATGGATTCCAGAGACATAATCACAAACAGCTGATTGCAGCTCTGCTACAAGCGGACACCAATTCCGTTGTAACTGGGGGGGGTCATTTGATTCCTTTCACAATTTTACTCTGTTTCCTTAATAAAGCTTTAGACTGCAGATTCTAAAGGACTGGCTCGCGGGGTGTTCTTTCAGGGAAGAGCTGAGGTACAATATTATGATTTCAACTGAGAGCTCCCCGCTGAAATCCCAGATGAGCCTCCACTGATCAGTTATAAAATGGATAGGTAGCATGCCTTAGTTTCCCTTCTTATACTGCCGATCAGGCTTGATACGGTTTTTCTGCTGTGCTAATGGTTATATTTATTTCCAGGTGACTGCTCAGAAGCATGATTACAATGACTGTTTAATTACTTGGAGCATGCCTACACAACAGGGCAAAACACAAAATAAGCCACGCAACGTTGTGTCGCTTAATCCAAAATAGCTTATTTCGACTTTGGGTGCTGTCTACACAGCTGTTATTTTGAAACAGAGCCCTGTCCCCCCCGACTTGCCTTACTCCTCGTACAATGAGGGTTACAGGAGTCGGAGCAAGAAGCTGGTTGTTTTGAGTCCTTTAACTAGTCCTTTAACTGCCCCATCGCAGGGTTTCCATAAGAACCAGACTCCGTCCGTATCTTGCTATTTTAAATTGCGGGTGAGGGTTTGTAAACCAGTAAACGTTAAGCCCGTTTGTCCTCTAGGTGAGCACGGGACAAGCATCAGCTAAAGCAGCGGTCACCAGCCAGCAGCTCAGGATCGATCAGTAGATCTTGGAGCCGCTGGCAGGTGATCCTGACTGGTTTGGCCAGGAAGCTATCAGGGGCTGGTACTTCAGCTGCCCTTCCACCCACTCCTCTGCTATTCCTGCCCCCTGGGAGCCTCCTACTTGCTGGACAAGTTGTGGGAGGGAGAAGGGGGCTGGGGAGGGGGGCGCGGTGAGTTCTAAAATGCCGAACCTGGCGTGGCTGGAGGAAGTATCCCCGTGGGAATTGCTGCTCCTGGATGTGGCTGGGAGGTAGATCAGGGGGTCTCCACGTGCTGTCCTGGCCTGCAGACACCGCTCCTGCAGCTCCCTCTGATCAAGAATGGGGAACCGTGGCCAGGAGAAGCTGTGGGCTCAGTAGATGAGGGCAGCACATGGAGCCATTGCCGTACGTGCCAGCTGCTTTCAGGAGCGGTGCAGGGCCAGGGCAGAAGTCAGCTGCCTTAACCCCACAGCTCCACCACCCGGAAGCTGTCTCAGTTAAACGTGCCCAGCCAGAGCCTGCTCTCTGAACCCCCGCCCCAGCCCTGAATTGCCTCCTGCACCCAACCTCCTGCCCCAGTCATGAGTCAACCTGTGCCCAAACTCCTTCCTAGAGCTTGCACCCTGAACCCCTCCTGGACCCCAATCCCCCACCCTGGGCTAAGCCCAGAGCTCCTCCCACACTGCAAACCCCTTGGTCCAAGACTAGAGACTAGAGCCTGCACCCCAGTCTGGTGCGAGTGAGTGAGGATGGGGGAGGAAGGGGTTGGAGTGAGCAGGGGGAGGCCTTGAAGAAGGGGCAGGAAGGAAGTGGAGCAAAGGGATTTGGGTTTCAGGTCGATCTCACCTTGCACTTACATTGAAAAAGTGATCTTGTGGTTGTTGCTGGGTGCGATGGGGTGGAGTGGAGCCCATGCGCCCTACACTCAGCCCGCGCCGACCCCCACGCTTTATGGGCACGCAGTGAGCGGTCGGCTGCCTGTGCCACCTGTTCCCACGCAGTGGCCCAGTGGAGCTGCGCCGCGGCCGGGGGATGCCGAACGCAGCCGCTGCAGTGGCGCGCCGGGCGGTACATCCAGGGGGAGAAGGGAGCAAGAAGTCGAAATAGTAGGCAGGCCTGTAACGGCACTAGTGAACTCTGGGTGTGGCGTGCCGGGCGGTACATCCAGGGGGAGAAGGGAGCAAGAAGTCGAAATAGTAGGCAGGCCTGTAACGGCACTAGTGAACTCTGGGTGTGGCGTGCCGGGCGGTACATCCGGGGAGCGGAGGAATCTGGAGACATTATGGGGTACGTGGGTTGGGGGAGGAGCTGGCAGGGTGGGGCCAGGTGAGTATGGCCACAAGAGGCTGCGGAGGAGAGAGAGAGGGAGGGAGAGAGGAGGAGGGTCGGGAGTAGGTCGGAGAAAGGAAGCAGAGGGGTAGGGAGGACGCCAGGCGTCTGGGGTAAAGAGGCAGAGGGGGTGGGAGAAGTGTGAGCAAGGTAGGCCGGCTCCAGAGGCTCTCGGGGGTAGGAAGTAGCCTAGGGTGGGGCTTTTTTACAATTAGCCCGTGGGCTGGTGCGTTGGACAGGTCTCCACCTGTGCCTGGCCCTGGGCTGGGACCTGTGAGCGAGGGCAGGTCTGGGTCTCCCTACCCCACCCGCCATCAGCGGGGGAGAAGCGTTTGGGACTATCACAATGAATGACTGGAAGTGGTCTAACGGGCGTGGGGATCCCGCGTGACTCTGGCAGGTGAAATGTGCAGGATTTTCAAATACTGGGCGCAGAATTATTTTGGGGCTCAGAGTTCCCTTGGGAGTTCTCCTGCCCGGGATGTGTGCGCCTCCTTCCCACCCGACCCCGAGCCCCCTTCCCACCTCAGCATGGCGTCGGGATGCCCCCTCCCCATCCCTACCCAATGTGCACCCTCCCCTCACCCTTCCTGTGTTGCCCGTCTCTGGCTGGGGAACCAGGCATCCTGGCTGTCAGCCTGCTCCCGGCCCGGAGACGAGGGGCAGGGCAGCAGTGACGAGGCATTTTGCCGCAAGCTGCCAACAGCCCGTTCGCTGACCTACAAGTATTTGCAGAGGTTGCTGAAGGTGCCACCTCAATAAATTCCCTCCCCTCTGCCCCGCCCTGCATCAACTCAGGTCCATGCTGGCCCCACTGGGGTCAGGGAGCTGCTCCCCCTCCTCCCCACAACCTCAAACCCCTGTGAAGCAGGGAAGGCAGTTAAAAGCTGCTGTGGCTGGAT